GGCCTGAACTCTGGGCCTGGGCGCTGTCCCTCAGCTCTTCAGCTCAAGGCTAGTGCTTTACCACTTGAGCCACAACACCACTTCCGGCTTTTTTTTTTTTTGCTTATGTGGTGCTGAGGAATCGAACCCAAGACCTCATGCATGCAAGGCAAGCGCTCTACCACTGAGCCACCTTCCCAGCCCTCCAATAGAAGTGTTTGATGTGCTAAATCCCTTCATAGAATAAACAAGCCCTGGGAAAATGCAGCCCAGCAAAATAATTTGTTTAAAAGTTTGTCTTAAATTTTAGTCATCTGTGAGAATAAGATTGGCAAAAATATCTCTTGCCACTAAACAATTCAGAAAGCTGTAGGCTGGTATTCATTTTTCATGTTTTAAGATCTTTGGGCATAATATGTATGTAAACTTATTGAGATAAAACTGTCATCATTATGTAAAAAAAAAAAAAAAAAAAAAAAAGAATAAGTTTAAACTCCCAAGAAAGGTCAACGAGTTTGGATATTATGAGTTTAAACTCCCAAACAAGATTGGATATCATCAAACGTGTAAAACATTGTTGCATTGTTTTAAAGAAAAACTTTAGCTAAAAGGTTTTCTGTTCTTAAGCATGGAGTTTGCTAAATTCTGTTAGCTCTTCAGCTCTCTCTAGCATTGGCCATGTAGTGGAGCGCCATCTTGGCACTGTGGTAGCTCAGCTGCTCTTTCAGACCAACTCAGTTTTGCGCCAACTCGACTTGCTTCTGTGGCACTCCCCCTGACCTGACCAGCCCAGGCACCATGATGCCATGCCACATGTCTGTTCGTGTCTTGTCTCTTGTTTACTGAAAGTTTCTTGTTGTTGGAAAAGTTTTGTGTTTTAAACTGACCACATGGTTCTATCATAATTAGGCAAAGTAATACCACTGAAATTCAAAAAAAAACTCCAACAGCCGATTTTAAAATCCAAGCACACTCTATAATCTGAGCACAAACATATCTATCAATATGTAAAATATGTAAAGTTATGGTTCCAAAGTTACCAAGTATTCTGCTTGCTAAAAATCTCTGTCAATGAAAGCTGTGATTTAATCTAAGTTGATTTAAGAATTTTGAGACCTGACTACAAGCCAACGGAAAAAACAGGCAGTTTTAAAGGGCCTTGGGAAAGAAAACAAGATGGTTTCCGTTGCAAAGTAGATGAAGTTCGTAATTAAGTTGGCTGTGATTTATGTCATCCTTAGGTCCATCTATGCTAAAAGTTAAATATTGTACTTCTGACCATGGCTGGTAAACTAAGGCTAAAGTTTTGTTTCTCCATTCTCTCCCCTGTGTGCCATTTAAGATCAAGGGACCAGAGTAACTCAAGATGCAGTTTCCTCCTGTGCATGGGAAATGCCCAGGAAACAGAACAAAGTTGTCACAGCTGCCTAAACCATTGGCACCAGCCTGCAAAAGCCAGTGTGAAACAGGTCTTTATCCAGTATATGTAGAAATTTTGCAGAAAACTAGCGGGAGGTGCGATAGTCCATCCACACTGAGAGATGCCACAGCCTTGCCCAGATCCCTGGCCTCCATCACACATGACCAAAGCCTGCTGATTTGGGGTAAAAAGAAGAAGAAAAAAAAGCCAATTCAGATATTTGTGTCTGTAATGTTAATCCCCACAAGTTAGACCATAAGAGGTGTATGAGCAAAGGATATAAGTTAACTTCTATGCTATTTTGTAATTGGATGTATTTCTAAAGGAAAAGAGATGCTAAGTCTAGATTCTTGGTACAGTGCTAGTGCATTAAGAAAAACTGCTAATTTCCTAAAGGTAACTCAGACTGCAGGAAAAAAAAGTGTCCAGTTTAAACCTTTGGCCAAGAGGTAATGGGTATGGCCCAGTGTTTAAATGGGGCATTTAAATGCAAATTAAAGTAATGTTAGAAAAAGGGATTTAAAATGATGTCTCCTTTGTAAAAAAAACTTTTGGAGAAGTAGTGGGGAATGGCTGGCCTCCCAGACAAAAGTTGAAAAGGTAAAATTGTCCTAATGTTTATTTCAAAGTAAAAAAAAAAACAACATAAATTAGGAATTTATTCCAGTTTGCCATTATAGGTTTCTTGTAAGTTTCCAGCAGGCCCACAGTAAAGGATGGAGGACAAGTTTGTCCGATTAACTTTGGCCCTTAGTAAGTTCCAGGTAAGACCATGCTTATAAAACTACTTCCAATGACCATCTTTGTTATTTTTGATTGAAGTGGCTGTTTGTAAAATCTCATTATCTGAGAAGTGTAGTTCAAAGCCAGCCTGGGCAGAGATAGGTCCCTGTGAGATTGTCATCTCTAATCTTCCAGCAGAGTGTGCAAAAGCAGAGTTGCTTTGGAGCTCAGTGGCAGAGAGCTAGCCTTGAGCTGAAGAGCTGAAGGACAGTGCTCAAACCCTGAGCTCAAGTCCAGCAACTGACCAAGGAAAATGCCATTTTATCCCAGCATTTATCCCAACATGGGAAAAGGCACTCCAGGGACCCTGGCAATGTTGGAACATGCAGAGGCAGTTACAAGCAACTGCTTGGATAGCAAAAAATGGTGTCAGATCCTGGAGTCACTTGAGTGTGGACCTTCAAAAGTTGATCAGAGCCAAGAGGTCATGGCAAGATAGTTTGTAAGCATATAATTATGTCCATATATGTCCAACTGGGCAGGAACTTGCCAGTCATCTGTGGTAGTGGGTAGTAAAAGCTAAGGTTGTAAAATGTGAGGGATAATTTAAATCTCAACCCCCCCTGTACCTGCTCAAAGTCCTAATTGGCAGTGACTTTTGAGCTGGCACGGCCACATAAATTCATCTGCTAAGGAAAGAAAGTTTGTAGACCTGAAATTATGTCCCTATTGAGATCTGTCCAAAGCCCTACACAGGTAGGCATTGTTAGGGCCACTAGAGATCAGGTTCCTTAGCCAGACAGAAAAATGGTTTTACAAACCAGAGTGTTAAACAGGTTATGCTGCTATAGCCCAAGAAAAGGTCTCTACATTTGTTAAAAGTTAAATGTTGTATATAAGCCACTTTAAACAGGCTGCCCAGAGACAATGAACAGCACTTAGAGTGCCAATCAGCTGGGTTTTGTTATTACAAAACTCTGGCAAATAATTGTTAACAAGTTATAGATAAATTCTATCTCCATTGACCCTCTTGTTGCTTTAATTGGAAATAAAAAGGGCTTTGGTGACAAAGACTCCTTTTGCCACAGTTCAAAGCCATCCAGGGCACAAAGACTCCCTCTAAAACTCCATTTCTCCACTAGTCAGCAAAGAGCCAGGCTGGAGGCATGGCTCCAAACTTTCACCTCTTAAATATCCAGCTGAAGACTGAAAGTGGCATTGTGACTCTAAGTGATAGAGCACTAGGCTCGAGCAGAAGTGCTCAGGGACAGTGCCCAGGCCTTGAATCCAAACATGGTAAATGCCAACTGGGACAAGCTATCCCAGCAATGGACACTGAGACACACACACACACACACACACACACACACACACACACACACACACACTCACACACACACACACACACTCACACACACACCAGGACAAAGTCAGTCCTGACATTGGAAAACTGCGGAGAGGAGTAAGAGGAGATAACATCTTAAATGGAGTCACCCTTTCAAAATTAATCAGAGCCAGGAGATCAAGAGAAATAGTTGCTTGCCCACCTACTGTCCATACCTGTCAACCTTCTAACTGGACAGAAAGCTACAGTCTTGCCTTTGTTACCTGCTATTTGTATTTATAGTAGCCTCTGACTGGTACTCCCAACCAGTCCATTATGCTCTCCCCTACCCAGTTGCCAAAAGACCCTAGACACCCCCTTCCTGCCCTGAGTCCAGTTATTCCTCCTTCCCTGTACTGGGCCACAACTGGGCTTATACTCCAAATGGAACTTTTCTGACCCATGGCCAGTGTGTGTTCTTCTATGTCATTCATGTTAACTGACCTTGTCAGCCTGTCAGCTTCTTGCCTGACCTTTCCAAAAGTCTCTTTTAACAGGTTAACATCCCCCGCCCAGGACACCACCTGGGAACAAGTCAAGGCCATCCTGTTCCTACAGGCAACTAGGGACATCACTTGCACTGCACTGCCTTGCCCAGCGCAGACCCAGACCCTAAAGACCTCAGCTCCAGGGATTCCTTGATGCCCCCAGGCCAGCAGGAAGTAGCAAAAAGAGCCCATGACACCTGTTGGCTCTGGTACCGTTAAATATCTCTGCTACCTCCTCCTCAGGTTACTGTGATCCTAAAGTGGGAAAAATCTTACTCAGAATGCCAGGAGTCAGGTACCAATCCAAAACAGAAAAGCCAATTTTAGGTCTTTAATAACCCCTTCTGAGAATCAATCCTTCCATGGCTTATTCCTCTCTTGGGCTACTAACAGCAATTTTGCCTTTTATTAATTGTCTCTTGCATTTTAGATATCTACTGTCATGGAAAAAGGAGGACCTTTACCAACCAGTCAAGCAGATGCTGCTTAGACAGAACCCAACCAAGCAACAAAGCAGGAACCCAACTACTTTGTCCCTTTATAGCAGGAAGTAGCTCCAGATGAAATGACCTCTGCCCATACCCCCCCCCCACACTCACACCTGGTACCCCTATTTTTGTTCAACAACAAAGGGGGGAATGTAAGCATTATGCCCACCTTTGGTCCTCAGCTCCACACAGACTTGAGCTCCTCCCAGACCTGGAGTTCCCACCCTACAGCTGGCCACTTCCTCTCTCCACCCAGACCTACTTGAGCACCTACCTACCTCACTTCCTGCCCCCAGACCTTCCTGTTACCTGGATAGTGAAGGGTGCCATGAGCTCCCTCTTGGGGGAAATATGACTCCTCTAATAAACCTTATAATAATCTTTCTCCTGTGCCTGACTGCCTCCGCATGGTCCCCTGGGATGGATGTGAAAGATACTTTCAAAGATAGTGAAAGAAATAATACAGATGAGTACAAGAAATAATGACATAAAGAATGAAAATAAATCAAGTACACCAGTTGCTTCTAAAATTGTTTATAGAAATTTTGAAAAACAGCATGAAGGTTCCTCAAAAGTGCTACAATAGTATTGTTATAAAACATTCCACAATTCCACTTATAGGTATGTATTAAGTGTACTTTCCATTGTTGCTACAAAATACCTGCGGCTGGTGCTGTATAAAGAAAAGAACACTCCAAGATCAGTGCCTCATCCATTTACCCTGTAGACAGACCTCTCTTGGCTTTAATAACAGGACAGAGAACATTGGATTCTTAGGATAATCTTCATCTATTAAAGTAGAAAATACCACCCACCTTAAGTAAACTAATACTAAAGCATTCCAACAGAGCAAATTACATACCACATGTAATAAGTTATGGCTGCTGTGAGTTCTGCTTAGTACTTCAAATGACTATTTCTATCGGTGCACTCTTCTAAAAGAGTAGAAGTATCTTGGAGGTAGAAATATCCTAAATGCAGCTTTACATTTTCTCAATGCCCAGCCATTTGTTTGTGAACTTTGCAATACAGTTTTGTTGCTATGGTTTAAAGCTTTCTGTTCCTCCAGGAAGTAATGTTGCAATTTAATTCCCAAAGCTACAGTAGTAACAGGCATGGCCTTTGAGAGGTGAATGAGGATTAGATATCCTTAAAAGGGGGCTTCAGATGGGAGGTTTTCCTCTTGCCCCTTCCCTACTTCCTTTCCCCACAGAGGACTGAGTGCACCCATTTGGAGGGCACAGCAACAAGGTATCTTAGAGGTACAGATGAGCCGGCCAGACCCCAATCCTGTTGGTGCCTTGATCTTGGACTTCCTCGCTTTTAGAACTGTAAGAAACAAACTCCTATTGTATCTAACATTCAATCTGCTATTTTATTCTGGAAGCACACATGAACACATATATGTTAAGTACATGAGTATAATTCTTGGTTATACTTTGATAACTTAGGTTAAAGCCTATATGTGAAAGCATAATTAAATGTTCTGTTGTTCAAGGATGTAACGAGTGTTAATAGCTTTTTGCAAGATTCATGACAATATTTTATTCATTGTATGTTTAAAGTTGTATCAAAATTTAAAATCAAGCTGAACATGGAATCACATGCCTACAATCCCAGCACTTAGGAGGCTGAGACAGGACTGGAGGTTAGCTTGGTGTACAAAGTAAGATCCTACGTCCAAAAAAAAAATCATAAATTAGTCTTATATTGGTCTTCTGTAAAATAAGCTGTAGTTCTCCAATTGCAAACTTCCAAATACTTCTTTTAATCATGTTTTCTCTTCCAGACTTTAAAATAAGAGGAATCTGCATCCTGTAAAAGAATGACAGTAAGATGCATGAGTTTTATTTTTAACAATTAAAGCCTTCTAGGTCTTTGCTTTTTGTTTTTGTTCTGCCAGTTGTGGAGCTTGACCTCAGGGCCTGGGCTAACACTCTACCACTTGAGCCACAGTTGAACTTCAGCTTTTGGTAGTTAATTGAAAATAACAGTCTCTGTATAAATTATATAGGACTCTGGGCATTCACACACAGTGAGACCAAAGGAGGATAATCTTAGAAAAGATGCAATGCCTATGTGTATCTGATCAAACAAAATAATATTTATTGAAATGAACTCCAGGAAATGGAAAAAAGAGGTTTTTTTTTTCTTTGTTGCTGTTTTTATTTTCTTTTTGTCTTCTTTGTTCTTTTATTTGTCCTTGGGAGGGTACAGGGGCACAGAAATGGTGGGATAAAAGGTAAAAAATGCAGCCACAGTACTCGCTAGAGACTATGTTGAAAGGATATATACAACTTGTGCGTGGGGACAGGAGGGAAAAACTGGGAGAGAAGGAAGGCATGACATTGTCCAAAAAGAAATGTACTCAGTACCTGACTTGTGTAACTGTAACGCTCGATACATCACCTTTGTAATAACAATAAAAAAATTGTTTTAAATGTCTTTTCCAAGTAATGGGGAGTCTTCTAACAAGGAAAAGCCCAGGTCCCAATGGATTCATGGCTGAATTCTAGGTCTTTTAAAATTGAACTAACACTGGTACTCCTCAAACTTTCCATGAACTACAAACAGAAAGATCAATTCCAAACACCTTTTACTAAGCCAGCATTACACACATTCCAAAACCAGGTAGGGATTGAGAAAAGAGAACTATAGACCAATCTCTCTGATGAACACAGATGCAAAGCTCTTCAATAAAACACTAGCCAACAGGAATCAGCAACTAATTTTTAAAAAATCATACATTATGATCAAGTGGGTTTTATCCCAGAGATACAAGGCTGGTTTAAAAAAAAGGAAAGACAGAAAAAATAAGGGTATCACAGACTTTTCCTGCCCAGGCTGGCTTTGAACAGTGATCCTCTGATCTCAGCTTTCTAAGTAGCTAAGTGTCAGACACCAGTGCCTAGCTAATCCTTCTGTTTTAAGGCACTATCTATATCATTATTACTCACTGTGAAGAATTCTTTCAAACCTTGGACAAATGCTTAGAAGAGCTTTAAAAATTGTAGCAAAATTCTAGAGCTACACGCAAAAAAAGGCCTTATGATTATCACCATTACAATTTCTACGTGACATGAATATCATTGGTCAGATTCTATTCACACCATTTGTTAATACTAATTTTTCTTATTATTATTCTGTACAGATAAGCCCTAATAATTGCCCTAGTAATTATAGATGATAAGTAATAGTATTAGAATTACACTATTTAGGAAATAACTATTAAATTTTGTATAAACATATAGTATGTTTCAGGAATAAAAGCATTCTACAACCTCCAATATATATTACTTTCACTTGGGAAGATAGACATTTATCTCTTTCAACAATTTTCATTAGGGGGCTAGGAAAGTGGCTCAGTAATACAGTGCTTGCCTTGCATGCATGAGGCCCTGGGTTTAATTCCTCAGCACTACATAAGCAGAAAAAGCTGGAAGTAGCCAGGCACAGGTGGTTCACTCCTGTAATCCTAGCTACTCAGGAGGCTGAGATCTGAGGATCATGGTTCAAAGCCAGCCCGGGCAAGAAAGTCTGTGAAACTCTTATCTCCAATAAACCACTAGAAAACTGGAAGTGGTGCTGTGGCTCAAGCAGTAGAGCGCTCACCTTGAGCTGAATTGCTGAGGGACAGCGCCCAGGCCCAGAGTTCAAGCCCCACGACCGACAAAAAAAAAAAAAAAGCTGTAAGTGATGCTGTGGCTCAGGTAAAGCATTAGCCTTGAGCAGAAGAGCTCAGGGACAGCGCTCAGACCAGAGTTCATGCCCCACAACCAACAACAACAAAAAAGAATCTTCACTAGAAAAAACAAAATAATGATTAACAAAATTCAGTGTGACTTTGTTCTTTGGTTTCGTAAGAAAGTGAGTATCATGTCCCAGAAATGGTACTGGGAAATAAGAGGACATTCAGTTCACCATTTAAAAAAGAGTGACAAAGCAATAAAACCATGCAAAAACAACTCAATAAAGAGAGTATCAGGAAGAGCCACTGCCTTTATAAAGACTAAATGTAATCAAAGTATGATGTCTGGTGGTGTTAATATTCTACAGTTAGATATTCTGTAAGCAAAATGAAATAACCTTCATGTGGAAATTTCTGAAAGAACAATTACTGCTGTGATATGGAAGCTCTCTAGTCTCTGCCTCTCTTTCCCTCTAAAATTATTATTTTTGTAATACACTCTTTCTCTGAATTATTGTTAAATTCAGAATGTAAATTGGTAACAAGATTATGACAGTCTGGAGAGCCTTTTAGGAAGTTTTAAGAAATGGAATTATTATATGACCCTCAGTAATGTCATTTATTGGTCATTACTCTAATTTCTGTCATTCTGACAAACAGCTGAGACTTGTCTGGAGGCTGAAAGTCTCAGATAAGGAGGTATCACCTGTCTGTCAGCTTCTGATGAGGAATCCCTCAGCTAGGTTTTAACTTGGAGGAGCAATGGAAACAACCAGCCACATGCAGAAGGGGACATATTTGTTGGGTGGTCTTGCTTTATGACAATCCACTCTCTTAAGAAGTAACCTTGGTCCTGTGAGAAGTATAGTAGCCCTTTGGAGGCTAAAACCTCGAAGACTGAGATTGGAAGCCAGCCTGGGCTGAAAAGTCTGTGAGACTCTATCTCTAAATTAAACTCCCGAGCTGGGTACTGGTGGCTCATGCCTGTAATCCTAGCTACTCAGGAGGCTGAGATCTCAGGTTCATGGTTCAAAGCCAGCCCTGGCAGGAAAGGCTGTGGGACTCATCTCCAATTAACCACCAGAAAACCAGAAATGGTGCTGTGGCTCAAGTAGTAGAACACTTGCCTTGAGCTGAAGAGCTGAGGGACAGCGCCCATGTCCAGAGTTCAAGCCCCATGGCTGACAAAAATTTAAACTCCTGGATTAAGGTATGGTTCCAGTGGTAGAGTAACAGCCATGAGCAACAAGCCATGTAACAGTGACAGGCCCTTCACTCGATTGAGGCTCATTACATTTGTTATATTTATACAGTCAACACTTCTGAGGATCACAACAGACATTAGCTGTCTCAGGAACAGTTACTCATGTTCCCCAATCACTGCTATAGGAATAATGATGAGGGAAGGAGCAATCAATCCTTGTTCTCAGACATGGACATAAAGCATCTTTTTTGGGGGGGTCCGGTCGTGGGGCCTGAACTCTGGGCCTGGGCGCTGTCCCTCAGCTCTTCAGCTCAAGGCTAGCGCTCTACCACTTGAGCCACAGCGCCACTTCTGGCTTTTTTCTTTCTGCTTATGTGGTGCTAAGGAATCGAACTCAGGGCCTCATGCATGCAAGGCAAGCACTCTACCACTGAGCCACCTTCCCAGCCCCAGACATAAAGCATCTTACGGAGCAGAGTGACTTAGGAGCAAGGCAAAAGGCACAAAGGCTATACAGTATGCACCCATCTAAACAGTGTAGCAGGTGATTTGCCGGGAACAAACACGGCCTGGGAGGACAATCAGACCTGGGGAGAGGTGGGAGGGAAGGCCAGGTATCAGTTCAAGGAAGTGACACCTGAGCTAAAACCTCAGGTAGGCAGAAGATGGTGGGGAGAAATAGTGAGGAAAGAATATTTAGGCACTGTCATATAATAAGTGTAAAAGGAAAAATTTGGCAAATTTTTCCTTGATTTTACCTCTTAGAAACCTTAAATCTCCAGGCTAGTAATAATTTATAACAAATCATTAGCTATAGAGACTATTTTTATATTTTTGTTTACATCATAAGATCCATGGAAAGTTAGCAAAAATTAATCAAAGTACTTTTCTGCAAGATTGATATGTACTGTTAAGAAATACATAAATTCTTCTTACCACACCCTTCTTGAAGTTTTCAATCCTTTGCTTCGAAAATTTGTTGACTAACCACCAGCCAAAGGTTGGCATATACTGACATATATATGCTACCAACAAGTAGGGGTGATCGCCGATCCAAACTTCTTTCAGATCATTGGCCATGGAGATCAACATCAGCTGCACACAGCGACTAGTTGCCATCTTATGCGACTGGTCTCCTTCATTTCCTACCATCTAAAAACAGTTGTAAATAAAGTGAACTTTGAGTTTTTATCCAAGTAATATGACAGAACTCTTAAGAAAGAACAAAAGACCACCTAGGCATGCTCATTAGGAGTCCCCAGAGGAACTAATAGGGTTATAAATTCAACAATATTTCCAAAGCCTAACAGAAAGAATAATTACCAGATAAGACTATGCAGGCTAATTAAAGGTTGAAGGATTTTTACTTTGTACATGTGTGGGGAGGGAGAGGAGTATTTGTGTGTGTCAATACTAGGGCTTGAACTCGGGCCCTCATGCTCTTGCTTAGTTTTTTTGTTCAAGGGGGAAAAAAGCAAGCAATTCAGGTGCTCTTCCACTTGAACCATGGCTCCAGGTCTTGCTTTTTGATGATTAACTGGAAATAAGAGTTCTTATAGACTTTTCTGTCAGGCTGGCTTTGAAGCTTGATCCTTAGATCACAGCCTCCAGAGTAATTAGGGTTACAAGCATGAGCCATCTGTAGCCCAGCTGGATTTGTTACTTTTAATCAGAATTGCTTCATCTTAGAGTGCTAGAAAACTTCATTATCAGTTTAGTTTAAAATTTTCAAATTACTAAGAGTTAACATCTGGTAAATAAAAGCCTATAAATGTGCCCAGGGAAATGAAAAAGAAGATTAAAGGAGTATCTTAGTGGTGAACAAAATGGTAGACCACTTGTGTTACTTTAGTGATTACATTAACCTTTATTAAAACTAGCTGCTGAAAGTAACTTTTAATACTTTTCACCATGTTGTGAGTTAGGTTGTGTGAATAATTCCTAAGCACTTCTGACATTTTAAAAATAGCAGATATAACGTGCCAGGCACTAATGACTTACTCCTGTAATCTTACCAACTCAGGAGGCTGAGATCTGAGGACTGCAGTACAAAGCCAGTCTGGGTAAGAAAGTCCATGAGACTCAAAAAAATCTGGAAATAGCCGGGCACTGGTGGCTCACGCCTATAATCCTAGCTACTCAGGAGGCTGAGATCTGAGGATCGCGGTTCAAAGCCAGCCCGGGCAGGAGAGACCGTGAGACTCCTATCTCCAATAAACCACCAGAAAACCAGAAGTGGCGCTGTAGCTCAAGTGGTAGAGCGCTCGCCTTGAGCTGAAGAGCTGAGGGACAGCACCCAGGCCCAGAGTTCAAGCCCCACGACCGACAAAAAAAAAAACAAAAAAACCTGGAAATAGAGCAGTAGCTCAACTGGTAGAGTGCCAGCCTTGAGTGAGAAAGCCATAGGAGTTCAAGCCCAATCCTGGCACAAAAGGAAAGATGTAAGTAGTAAATCATTAAAATTATTCCCAACAGGAATTTTTACCTTTGTGACTTCCTCAGTTAGTGCATTCTTCACAATATCTGACTGCACAGGTCCAGGGCACACAGTAGAAATCGATATGCCCGGATAGTCGCTAAGTTCTGTTCGGAGAGCATTAAAAAAACCCTAACCGAAAAAAGGAAGAAGTAACAAAAACAAGAAAAAGATAAATGAATCTCAATACAGACACATGACATCAAAACATGTTCTGCATTGCCTCAGGAAAAAAGGAGAGGAAATCACAGAAAGAGTGTATAGAAGAGAGCCAGTATTTCATGAGGCTGTGGTACAGACAGAGATAAAAAGGGGCCAGGTTGACCAGCCTCGGTTCCAAAGGGCAGAAACTGTAGATACTCTTTGTATGTCAGCTTCTGTTGTACTGTGTGGCACAATACAAGGGCTCTATACTCACCTGTTAGATAAATACAATCAGTGTGGCTGAAGACATTTTTATTATCCACTGAGAATGTCCTCTATGAAAATTCTCTTCTTTCTCTATCTTTACATTTCACCCCAGCTCCAACAACCTCCCTCCCGTAATGGCTGTATCCCCCATATGCACTGCAATTCTATTGAACTTGAACTTGAGCAACCTTACCCGAAGAGCATGCTTGCTGGCGCAATAGCCACTCGAAAGGGGTACAGACAAAATTCCCGCAAAGCTGTTCACAGTCACAATCTTCCCCTGCTTCCTCTCCATCATATGAGGTAGGACACACTTAGTCAAGGACACTGTTCCTAAGTAGTTAAGGTCCATTAGCTCCTTGAAGACATCTACGCTGGTTTCCATAAACAAAGAACGCTGAGATCTCCCACCATTGTTGACCAGAATGTCGATCTAATTTAAAAAATAAATAAGTTTTTCAAAGTGAGCACTTTGAGAATGTCCTAAATAGGTGGTTGGTTTTATTGTTAATGTTAGAATCAATTTGTCAATGGAGTGTCTCTAGAAATAAGCAATAAGAAGATAATACAACTGGAATTCATCTATAGAAGCCTCATTTTTGCCAGGCACCAACGCTCACACTTGTAATTGTAGCTTCTCTGAGGATCACAGTTCAAAGCCAGCCTGGGCAAGAAAGTCTTTGAGACTCCTTACCTCCAATTAACCACACACACACACACACACACACACACACACACACACACACACACACACACACACACACACACACACACACACACACACACACACACACACGGCACTGTGGTTCAAATGATAGAGAATTAGCCTTGAGCAAAAGAAGCTCAGGAACAGTGTCCAGGCCTTGAGGTCAAGTTCCAGAACCAGCATTGTTCTACATAGAAGAATCAGTTATTGTAAGGATGTGAAAAAGCAATTATCTAAAGCCAAAAGTACAGAGATTAGAAAGCCCACCTGATAGGCCTGATCTTGCTATGTAGAGCCCATCTATCAAGCTCTCTGTGAATGAGAGACCCCAGAAGGGAATCTTATCAGCAATCACTTCAAAGCCAGGCAAAGCAACACAATGAATATTCTAGCAATACAGAAATGCTACTTACTTTACCAAACTCCTGGAGGACAGTTTTGGTTGCGACCTCATGGGAGTTTCTATCAGTCAAGTCAAGAGGCAAAACCAGAATATCCTTTTCTTTTAAATTGCCATTCTCTAAATAAAGACACATAAATATTACCGTGATATTATGTTATTAGTCATTGGAGATCCTTGTTTTTCTCATGTTAGCATTAACCACCTTCTACCTTACAACAAGACTTAGCCATCATATCATCTCTGGGTGGCTTTGTGTTTCTCATTTATCAAGGAATAGACAGTGGTAATATGGAAATATCTTAAGGAAAAATGCTAACTTGCCTATCAAGAAGGAAGGCATGCTGCACTCTGGCAAAAGTCGATTATAAAAAAGGCACAAGAAAATGAGTCAAGGGAAATAGCCCACATCTGTAATTCCAGAACTTAGAAGTTAGAATCAAGATAATGATAAGTTCAAGGCCAGCCTGGGCTACATTGTAAGATCACATCTCAAAAACAAAAAAAAATTTTTAAATTAAAATGTAGATTACAACAAAACATGCAAAAGTAATACAATACCTTAAAAATTCAGAGCCATATTATGTTTACAATAGAGTCACAAAGTTTACTTGTTGTCCTGAAAAATACTTTTTTTTTTTTTTTTTGCCAGTTGTGGGGCTTGAACTCAAGGTCTGGTCACTGTTCCTGAGCTTCTTTTGCTCAAGGCTAGCACTCTACCACTTGAGCTACAGAGCCACTTCCAGTTTTTTTTTTTTGTTTATGTGGTACTGAGGAATCGAACCCAGGGCTTCATGCATGCTAGGCAAGCACTCTAGCCACCTTCCCAGCCCCTTAAAAAATTCCTTCTAATTTACAGTTTACATTGTAATTCAATAAGAAGCTTAGAGGTCTTGGAATAATGGCTTCTTTTTAGAGGGCTACAGAAAGCAGATAAGGAAGAGAACACAATTCACTATCAGTTTCCCACCTAGAAACAGCATGGAGGACTAGCCACTGGCCCTTCTTCCTTGTATTCAGCAAAAGCACAATTGAAAGTAATTTTCCTGAACCCTGCCTTAAAATATAAGAAGTGCCAATAAGAGCATAGGCGCATGGTCCAAGTGATAAGGGCATTGTCAGGCAAGCACCGGACTCTGAGTTCCAACCTCAATACCATGAACAGAACCAGAGTGAGGCAGCGAGGGTGAGAGGTGCCAGCAAGAGCAAGCAAGACTAAGAAGTATTAAAGGTACGATATTAAAGGTTTGGTAGTTAAAATAGGAAATGGTGAAACACTGAATGTATTAAAAGCAACCAGAAGGCTTGTGTCAATGATCTAACAGGAAAAAGGAAAGCTAACATCACTGCCAGAGCAAGCCTGGCAAGTCACAGCCAGAGAAGACCAAAAACCATAGAAGCAGTACACTGTAGCCAAGTGCCAGTGGCTCATGAATGTAATTCTAGTGATTGAGGGGGCTAAGATCTAGAGGACTGCAGTTCCAGCCCAGCACAGGTAGAACAGTTTGCTAAACTCCATTTGCAAAGTAACCAGCAAAAAGCAAGGATGGGGGTGGTATGGCTCAAGCTGTAGAGAACCAATCTAGCAAGTATGAGGCCCTACGTTCAAATCCTAATATTACCTTGAAAAAAAAAAGGATGATGAACATAAGCACAAAAGGCTTCTAAACTAGAAGAAGAAGTAACTCTTATGTTCTTTCTGAGTGTGTATGGGGATGAATTCTCACATTGCTATGTGGTTAGCTCAATCATCAAAGTAAAAGAATGATTTTTGAAAGAATGATAGATGAACAAAATATGATCTGGTAGAAAATTCAAAAATATCTCAGTTTAAATACTGAATACCTATGATATAATAAATATTTTACTGGAGGCTGTTTTCAAAGCATCCAAAACCCAAGCCAACAAAATTATAAATACTATCTAAGGGTAGTGGCACACACATATCTGAAATCCCAGCAGACAGGTCTCTGAAGTGCCTGATTTCAAAGCCAGCCTATTCTGTATACTATCGTGCATTCAAGGCCAGCCTGACCTACCAAGTGAGACCTTGTCTCAAAAAAATAAAAAATTTGGGCTGGGAAGGTGGCTCAGTGGTAGAGCGCTTGCCTTGCATGCATGAGGCCCTGGGTTCGATTCCTCAGCACCACATAAGCAAAAAGAAAAAAGCCGGAAGTGGTGCTGTGGCTCAAGTGGTAGAGTGCTAGCCTTGAGCTGAAAAAAAAATAAATAAAAAAAATAAAAAATTTGGGGCTGGGAAGGTGGCTCAGTGTAGAGTGCTTGCCTTGCATGCATGAGGCCCTGGGTTCAAGTTCTCAGCACCACATAAGCAGAAAAAGCCAGAAGTGGCGCTGTGGCTCAAGTGGTAGAGCAGTAGCCTTTATCACAAGCAGCTCAGGGACAGCACCCAAGCCCAGAGTTCAGCCCCACGACCGACTAAATAAATAAATAAATAGACACTGCCACTTAGTATACAAATATGAAAGATGAACTCCAGAGTACATGTTTAAACCTAATGTCATTCATTTTCTTATATCCTATATAACAAGTTCTACAACATCCTACATTGACTTTAATATCTGACATTAAGCAAAAATGAATAAGGCTCTAACTGTTTCAGTGTCATTGGTAAAACAAAAAAAATCAAACTGTACTTCCTCAACTATAAAGCTATGAGTCACTTAATGATTAAAAATCCTCTAGGTCACTCCCTAACACTAAGGATCAGTGAAAAATCTGGGTAGATGCACTTTAGTATCTATGGGTTCTGGTTGTTTTGAAGTATAAGAAGGAGAAGGCAAGGGCAGACACTTAGGAGATGACAAAAGAGCACTTAGAATTCTGGGAGCATCGCCTCTTCCCTCAAAAGTTCCAAAGTTACAAGTAAATTGGATTCTAACTCATTTCTAGCAAGTTTGGCTGCTGTTTTAGGTTTACTTACCCAGGCATCTCCTTTTCACTCTCTCCAGCTCATGCACTCTTCTGGCTGACAGCACAAGAGAAACTCCTAGTTTAGACAACTGGTAAACCAGCTCCTCACCAATGCCACTTGATGCTCCAGTCACCCACACCACCATGTCGGTCAGTTCCCATTCTATGGAGGAAGAAGAAAGGCCAGGGAGCAAAGAAGCCATGGATTAGATCCTACCCACGTGTAGAAAACTTTCAATAGTTCCAATAAACATGTAGACCTGCTGTGTAAATCTATTTAAAATGAAAACATCTATCTAAAGGCTTAAAAAAAGTACGAGGTCTTGAACTTGAGGTTTCACATGTTTGGCTTTTTCGCTCGTGGCTAGTACTCTACCATTTGAACCACATCTCCATTTTCAGATTTTTGTGGGGTAATTGGATATAAGTGACCCATAAATTTGTCTCTTCCAGCTGGTTCCAAACTGCTATTCTCAGAATTCAGTATCCGAGTAGCTAAAATTATAAGTGTTAGCCACAGGCACAAGCCATATTATTAATTGTAAACTCTGTGTGTGTGTGTGTGTGTGTGTGTGTGTGGTGTGTGTGTGTGTGTGTGTGTGTGTGTGTGTGTGTGTGTGTGTGTGTGTGTGTGTGTGTGTGTGTGTGTGTATGTATGTACTGATCCTAGGGCTTAAACTCAGGGTCCTGGCACTGTATTCTACCACTTGAGTCACAGCTCTACTTCTGGCTTTTCAGTGGATAAGAGTCTCATAGACTTTTGTGCCCTGGCTGGCTTTGAGCCACGATCCTCAGACTTCAGCTTCTTGAGAGCTGAGATTACAGAAGGGAGCCACTGGCACCCAGCATAGAATTTGATACATTCCAGAATCTTGCTTAAATCTCCAGATTTTACTCCTAGTTAAGGCTTCTAAATCCTCAGTTGTGCTCTAAGGCTCTATTAATCTGTGTAAATAAATCTTAGTGGATAGAAAATCAGTGCCTGGATTTAATTACCTTATCTATTAAATAAGGAATTCAGATGAGATGATTACTACGGGTCCCACCAATTTTTTTGTTCTTTTTCATATTTTTTGCAGTTGAAATATAGTTAAATAAGCCAAATATACCAACTTATGCTCCATGCTATGATCTAATTTAAAGTAATATTATCTCCATTTAGTGTTTTGTTAATGTTAGTTGTTAATGTTTTGTTAATTATTAATGTTTTGTTAATTATTAATGTTTTGTTAATGTTAATTTGTTAATTGTTAATGTTTTATGTTTTTATTCCATCCTATGAACTTAACACATTACCTTATTAGAACCCTACTAGGGACCTTATAAAAAAGATATTATTACCTCCATTTCACAGATGTAGAAACTGAAAAAGAGATTCATGTATCCCTCTAGTCTATAAACTCCGTCAAAGCTGGGACCCTATCTGCCTTCTTCAGGGCTGTGACCTAAGTGCTTAGCAAGACCCAAGGATAGAGAGGACTCCATAAACAAATACCTACTGATTAAATACCTATGAGCACCAGCAGAACTGTGATAGGAGCCCAGACATATCAAGCTGCAAAGCCCACACTGCCCACTGTCCTATGCTACACACATTTAAAAGTAGTCAGTTTTCCCTCCAGTGCCTTTCCACAGTGCCTTACCCACATGAGACAAGTGCTCCACCACAGAATACAGTCCCAGCTCTAAGTACTATCAATACTTTTAAATGTTCCTCAGACATTCAAGGAAATACAACTCGCTGAGTGATAATGGCTCAGACCTATAATCCTAGCTACTCAAGAGACTGAAATTGAAAGATTTAAGTTCAAAGCCAGCCCAGGAGGAAAGTCCATGAGACTCTTATCTCCAATTAACCAAAAAAAAGCCAGAAGTTGAGCTGTGGTAGAGTGCCAGCCAGCCTTGAGTGGAAAAAGCTAAGAAACAGCACCTAGGCACTGATTTCAAACCCCAGTTCCAGCACTCACAAGGAAGGAAGGAAGGAAAGAAGGAAGGAAGGGAGGGAGGGAGGGAGGGAGGGAGGGAGGGAGGGGAAATAAATATCCTTTTAAAAAGTCGGCTGTAAGTATTTCCACTCAATGTCTGAGCTACAGTGTTTGCTGTTCATGAAATACAATTGCATGGAAAGGCATAATTGACTAAGAAGGATTTTAAGAATAGCAAGCATATTCAGATGATTATCTATCAACCCTTATTCCAAAGTTTTGCAATATTCAGATTCTACAATCAATGTAGTTTTCTTAGGAAGTATTTACTAACCATCTTAGAGATAATGATGACTTTATTTTTACACCAGTAAGAAACATTATATAAAACCAATACTGTTAAGCCTTAATGCTTACTTCAGTACAATCTCAGATCTCACTCCTGTTTTTTCACCCTGAACAATCTATTTTTAATCTAGTACTGACTTTTACTTACCAATTCTACAGGCTCTGCCACACAAAATGATCTCCTATAAAGAGCCACTGCAAGCACATTCTTAGAGTCAAAAGAAAGGTAGAGCTCAAGCCCAGGACCAAAAAGAAAAGAAAAGAAAGCTAGAGTTGATGCCCAATCCAGTTTAAGGATTCTCTCTTCTGGCCTTGACAGCTCTATTTTTCTCATTCCTCTCAGGATGTGAAAGCTGGTGTCTCTGAACTGAGTGCCCATTGCTGCCTGCTCTTGTCCCTGCTGAGTCCTCTTCTCTCCTACCAGTCCTTACATGACAGGGCCTCTGATTTTCCCCCACCCTGCTCATCTACTATGCACTACTCAAATAAGTCAAGGCTCCATTGGCTCATTTGCAGTTGCTGTTTTAGACAGCGAACATCTACAGCCACACTTGCCTAATCTTTTCTGGTAGCCACTTGGAAGCTGGCTCACTTTGTGGCTATTGTTAACTAAATCCAATGTTTTCCTCACAGGTGCTGCTGTTAGCTTTCCATGTCTGGATTTGTGCCATGGATTTTTCAGAACAAAATTGCAATGTCTCAAATTGGTCACCCTCTATGGGACATGGAGATACAGAAAGTTTCTCTCGAAGATACAGAACAGGCCAGGGACTAGGGGAAGGCGAGTGATAAGGGCAGGAAAGAGCTGCATTTGGGGTTTTTTGCCATGCATCGTTTGGATTTTTATGTTTTATATTACATGATTGTGTTGCCCAATCAAAAATAATAAGCTTACAGAGAACCCAAAGGAATTTTTTTTTTCTTTTTCTTCCTTTATTAACCTTGATAGTCTGCCAATCTCACTGTTTTGGGAATCTGGGTCTATTTCCATGTTTATTTTTTTTCTTTTATCTGAAAACTCCATCTCTTTTTAGACTTTTCCCCCCCAAAACTCCCTGCAATTAAATGTTAATTCTACAGACCTACTATATTTTCAATTCATGTTCTCTACATAAACATGTACTGTATACACAAAAGGCCTTCTGTGAAGCTTACTCTTCAGTCAATGAAGGTTTAAGAATGACTAAATTTTAAAATTATGCTAAATTAAAATGCTAGTAGCATTTGCAATCGTCAGCTCTCTGTTGCTTTGGCAAAATACCTAAGAAAATCAGATTAAAAGTATAAATTATTTATTTCCAAGTTTCTGAAGTTTCAGCTCCTGTGGTTTGGCCCTGTATATTTTGGGCCTGATGTAAACAGTATATCTTGTGAACATACTATATAAGGCAGGTAATGGGTACATTCCTTTTTGAACAGTGTCACCCCTTCCGACTCCCTTTCCCAGGTTTTCCTTCCCACCTCCCCCTTGTATAATTTATCAGTTCATAGGTATTTACCAAGCTAATATTAGAACCATGTTCCAAGCCATCTCAAAGGTTAACATTCCTGATTTTCAACAGAGTTTTGCAGAAATACACTCTTTAAAAACAAACTCTCTAAAGGTAAGGACTAAACTTGTATTATAAGGTAACTTCTTGGATCTATAATTATTTTTAAATAAAAGAATTTAAAACATTTTGTGGAGAAAAAAACAGAACCTATTTTACAGTGACTTTAATTAACTACTATGATTTCAGCTATGTCAAACATACAAATACAAAAGCAAAGTAACTCTACACAGAAAAAATAACCAGCTATGGCAAAATAGTGATAAATTATTTTAAATGATTTAAAACTAAATGTTACTATGTATAATCCATGAAAAATGATCATGTACTGATGAATTTGACTGTCAGGTTAATCTTCTCATAGCATTACTTTGCCTTGTATTAAAATCCACTTTTATTTTTTTATGTGACTAAGTAGGAAAAGCTCCTAAGGCAGAAGTAGGTACCAAGAGAAGCTATTTAGCAGTTAACAAATAATGAAGTGATATAAAGGAATATAGTAAATTCTCATTTGATTAATAACACTGACTCCCAAGCAGTACATTAAGGAATCTGTTCAGTGTATTGTAAGTATGTTAAATGAATAAGAATAAATCATTGACTCAGTATAAAAAAAAAATCTTGTGAACATACAAAGCAGAGGAAAGTTGTTCTCATGGTAGTTCAGAAGCAAAGAGTGAAGAAGGCCCAGGATCCCAATTCACCCTTCAAGAGCACATCAAAAATGACCTGCTTTTCCAAATAGGCCCTACCTCTTTATGCATCCACTACTTCAACACAAATGTATCTAGGGCCACTGCAGTGCCTAATTATAACATTTTGATAACTATATTTGCCAAACAAACACAATTATAAACAAATAACTTACTTAGATAATTCATAAGGTACCAAATTATATATGCAACTCAGTGAATTGTGTAATCACTATATCATAGTGATGTAACTGAAAACGCTTCAGAATTTATTTTCCCAGAGAAAGTAAATGGATTGAAAATGAATTACTTAAAAAGAATTTTAAAGGACCTTGATTGTAACTTCTCCTTTTTGTGATATGAGAAAGTCACTTTTAACTTATTAACTGCTGGGTATTCATTCAAATATGGTCAGTAGTTTTCCATTTCACACATGATCTGATGAGTTGACTAATTTTTGTAATTATGTGATTAAAAACAGAAAATTAATTTTAATTCTCTAAGTCCAAGTTACTATGAAAATACTGAGGATCAAACACACCACACACACACACACACACAACTCACAATGCGGCAGATGGGTCCATGCTGTCCACCTGCTTAAGTTGAGCAATCAACAAAAAGTCCTACCATTAATAAAAGAATGGTATACTTGGGGTTCTTGCTTTCAAAGCAAGAAAAAGTCCACCCAGTCACAACTTTCTCTTTGCCATAGTTGGTGACCTTTGCAGTACAAAATATGTAACTATTAAATAGATTTTTTTCAGTCCCCAAAGAACAATGTTTCACCCTCTGACCCACACCACGATCACCCACCCACCATTTAGAAAAATGGTCTATCTACTGAACTACCAGCACTTAGTTTCAAGCAAAGTTCATCACATATGTTAGGGATTTTCGTACTGAAACTTAGGTCAGGAAAAATCACTTAGCAGTCCTAAGCGACCCAAAGTTCACCTTTGGGAAGGTGTTTTCACTTCTCTGATCATCACATCACTAAAAACAATACTGATAACACCAGTTTGTCAGAGCTGTTCTGAGGTCAAGGGTCATCGAGGCAGCACACATTACCCACTCACCACAGCGCCTGGGTTTACTAAATGAACCCATTTCCTATGAAGCAAGGCACAAGGTGGAAGCCAACTCTGACCCTGCTCCTGAAGAGAAAATAGAACCCCATTACCAGTCCTGTGGAGCGTCACACGTTTATGCCCAGTGGGTGCGTGACTTCGACCCCCCCGGGTTGTATTTCCAGACTGCAGGAGGGCAGACAGCGGAGGAGTCACGACTTCAGGAAGAAACTGGAGTCCCCCTGGCAGTTTAGCAAGGTTCCTTTGTAGTTTGGCAAGCCCTGGAAAGGTTTCCTAAGATAGAACCTGAGCCCGGGCCATTTTCCGGACAGGAAACCCCCAACAACCGGGCAGAACTGCCTCCTTCGCCCCCGGACTTCTTCTTCCCCCATCTGGAGCCCCTAAAAGGGCTGTGCCCGGGGAGGGGGGGTGGGGGAGCCGGCCGCGGGGCTCCCACGGCCCGTCCCCTCTCGGGGGCGGGGACCCCTCTGGGGATGCTCACCTGGGCGTCGCCCCTGCCACTCGGCCCACATCAACGTCAGGTCGCAATCCGCCCGCAGGAAGCGCAGCAGCAACAGCAGCGCCAGGAGCACCGCGCACAGCTCCAGCAGCCAGAGGACCAGGGCCCAGCTCATCGCGACGGCTCCGGGGCTCCGCGGCCCAAGCAGAAGCTCAGAGCCACTCCGCAAGAGTCCAGCCTCCCCTGCCCAGCTCCTCCGGGAGAGCGAGCCGTGGGGCGTGGCCCCGGGGGCTCTGGCTCCGCCTCGCCCCGCCCAGTTCCGCCCAGAAAGAGGGCCAAAGGGCGTGGCTCAAGGCCTCCGGCTCCGCCTTACCCGCCCATCTTAGCCCAGAAAGAGGGCAGGGAGGGGTGGGGGGTAGGGTGGCTCCGGGCCTCCAGTTCCGCCTCACCCCATCCAGCTCCGCCCACAAAGGGGGGAGGGGCGTGGCCCAGGAACTCTGGCTCCGCCCCTCACCGCCTAACTGCCCAGTGAAGGGGTGGGAGGGCGTGGTTCCGGCTCTCCAGCTCCGCCCCTCCGTCCCAGGCTGCCCTGCGAGGAGAGTGGGGACACTCCTGGGGCGGAGCTGGACTGGTACAGCGGGTTTCACTTGCTCAGCGCACCGAAAAGTGTTGGTGAAGTAAGAGTTTTGGATGTCCTAATTGCCTGGCAAGACTGTATTACTTGGTGATACCATTGTTGGTGCAGCAGTTATCAGGATCTGTGACGGGCATGAATTAATTTTTAAATGACAAGAAACGGTTAGAGAAAAACATTTGTTATCCAAAATAGAGTAATCTGTACAACTTTCCCACAATCAGTATTTATGCACTGTACAAATTGACACTGATTCATAATTTGCCAAATGAAACAAGACCAACTTCACAAAGTAGAGGGTAGTTTGTAGAAGGGGACTTGGTTAAGTACTATGAAGTTACAAGCCAAATCTCTACTTTCTAAAAGTAAGTTTACTCAGGCCTAGAAAACTATAAGGTAGCAAATGTGCAGAAAGCAGTCTGGTGCTAACACCACAGTTGAGAGACGCTCCACCCCCCTTCCCATTTTCATTAGTATACATCAGAGGTACAAAGGGGTTTCGTTGTGTCGTTTCCACAGGAATATGAAGACATACCAATCATTTGCATCCCCTCTATCTCCTCTATCCCACTCTCCCTTCTTAAAACAATTTCAACTGGTTTTATTGTTCTATGAAAATAGAACAATAAACAACTTACATCCCCATTCATCCTCCAAGGAACTTTACAAAAATCTTTTTCATGGTAGTACTATACATGAACTCAGGACCTGGGCATTGTCCCTTAGCTTTTCCCCTCGAATCTGACTCCCTACCACTTGAGCCATAGCTCCACTTCTGGCTCTTTGGTTGTTAATTGGAGATAAGACTTCCTGACCATTGTATCTTTGAACTGCTATCCTCAGATCTCAGCCTCTTGAGTAGTTAGGATTACAGGCATGAGCTCTGGGAACCTGGTTGAAGCACCTTTGAATAGCCTGTTGCCATGAGAAACTCCTGTCACTACTTACTTTCAAAACCAAAATCATAGTACAAGGTCTGACCATTTCCCCACATCATTCTTACTAATTCGCCTTTATATACATTTACACATACTTAGGTGCTAGGTCTTGTCATAAAATTTCAAGTTTCTACAATGTCTTAAACATTGAATTTTCCTACTGAGCTATTGAAAAAGTCACTGATAACAATTTTAAAATGTAACAGGAAAAGTTCTATAGGACCTGTTGCAGACAAGAGTTCTATAAAGTGTAGATTGCCCTTAAAGGGATTAATTTTTTAAAAATATGGGTATAATGTTTGGGAGAAATTGAAACCATTCCAGGACTTTGCTTCTCAGTAAATAAAGTGATTTTTACCTGGACTCTCAGGCAATTTGGTCATTGAAAGATACTGTCCAAACTGTGACAGTGTGCCTTTAAAAAAAAACTAGACAAAACACTCTGTCTTGTGCCAAATCATCACAGCTGTGGTATAAATAATAATATAATCCATACCAAGAGGAGCCCAACAGGCACCTTGGTGGTACACAACTGTAATCCCAGCACTCTGGAGGCTAAGGCAGGATCAAGGGGAGTTTGCAGCCAGCCTGTGCTACATTGTGAACTTCAGTTCAGGCTGGGCTACTTGGTCAGAACATGTCTCAGGGGCAAAAGTGTGGGGAGTGGGAAGGAAGAAATAGGGGATGGGACAGTAGACACAGGGCTGAGAGTTCTATCTGGAAGACAATGAGTTCTGCCTTGTCTACCTCCAGGATAAGAAGTTTGTGTAGGTTCTGAATGTCTCTCTTTTAATCTAATTTGGTCCAGTAAGAATGTCTCATTTGGATTAGTATGTGTACTAATTATAAACTTGGATTCATAATTAAGTAACTCATTTATTCATTCACAGAGTTAATAGCTTATCACTTTGATTTTATGTGTTATTTGTCTAGGACATGGTAATCTAGTTTTTGGTAAAACATTAGTTTAGATACTGCTGTGAATATATTTTTTAATATGTGGTGAACATTTAAATAAATAGACTCAGTAAAGCAGATTACTTCATCCAATCAATTGAGGTCTTTAAGAGGGAAAAAAACTGAGGTTCCTAGAGAAATAATTCTGTCTCCAGACTACCTTGAGAATTCATCTACAACATAAATTCTTCCTTGAACTTTCAGCCTGCTATTCTGCCCTGCGAACTCCAGAATTGTAGGATTGAACAATCCTATGAGCCAATTTCTTAAGTAAGTCAAGCTAGGTAACCCGTGCCTCAGGTCTGTAAACTTAGCTGCTCTGGAGTCTGAGATCTGAGGACTCAAATTCAAAGCCAACCCGGAGCAGACAAATCCAAGAGACTCTGATCTCCAATTAACCAGCAAAACGCTGGAAGCAGAGGTATGGCCCAAAAAGATGAGTGCCAGCCTTGAGTGAAAAATCTGAGCAAGATCTCAAGGTCCTAAATTCAAGGTTCAAGCCCTAGTGCTGGCAAATACACACACGAAGGCCAGCCCTAACCAGTATAGCTCTAATCAGTGCAGTTAGTGAAATGAGCTCCCTTCCCATAGCTTAGTCCACTCTTTCCCTTCTCCACAGCTTAGCAAGCTCCCTTCCTAGGCAACACTAGGAAGAAAGGCAGTAAATAATCAGCCTCCAACCCCCTTTACTTTGGGATGGCACTTCTCTGGGGCAGCTACCACCATATAAGGCAACAAGAACCCCTTAGAGTGACCTTCAGCTCTGGGCAGCTGCAGGACCCTTATCTACTATTTGGACAGCAGCCATAAATCCTAGTCCACTGTGATGAAGCGCCTGGCCCACTTGTCCACACCAGGGTCTCTGTCTCCGAGCCCCTTCTAGCCCCTCCTAAGCCTCCTAGGTTATCTAGGTCACCTCAGACAATAGCCGGTGCTTCTCACTTCTCTACTGTTAGGAGATGATTTGGTTCCATCTCCCTCCCCTCAACATACACACACACATTCACATGTTGACATCCTACTCCTAAGTATTTATTCCCATGTAGATCTCTTACTCATACTCATGAGAGTATTGTTCGCACAACTTGGAGGTAAGCTAATGTCTGGCGCGTAGCAAAGAACACAAGTTGGGTTGTTATGCAGTTTGGTTGTAGGACACAGGTGACAGGCTATGTACCTCCCAGGTGCTTCCCAGTCTCCCCCACCCCCCCTCAGCTAGGCAAGATGTCTCCCTCTCCATTAGGATTCTTTACCCGTGGAGTGGCCAATAAACAATGGGCAGCTAGCTAAGACATTATTGTAAGAGAACCACAAGCCAACCACAAATGGTACAATGTCTGAACACACAGTCCCTCACTGAGTCCAACTGTGCAGAGAAGAGAAGAAAGCCCCTCATGTTTTTGTTCCTCCAAGTCAACAAACTGTAAAGGAACTAGGTTGGCAATTTATGGTTGCTTTTCTCTGTGCAACAGCTCATAACATATGCCACTGTCAATAGAAGGTTTAGCCAGTCACCGGTCATGCCTGCAACTCTTCAGGTTGCAGTTTGAAGCTAGCTGGGACAGAAAAGTTCCCGTGAGACTCCTATCTCCCATTAACCACTTAAAAAACAGAAGTGGAGCTGTGGCTCAAAGAGGCGCAGCATTAACTGTGAGCAAAAAAGCTCAGGGACAGTGCTCAGGCCCTCAGTTCAAAACCCACAACCAACAAAGAATAATAAAGGTTTTACAGTAGGTGCTCTGCACTGGATACTGTGTATGTTGGAGGTCTTTAAGTTTATTATTTAATGTATTTAAACATATTTGGAGCATAACTAGACCAAAGGGAATAACATATCACCAAGAGGTTTTGGTCCTAAAGGTAGATACCAGTCACTTTGGATTGTCTGTGTGAGTTGTGAATAGGAGAGTTGTATTTTTGTTTGTTTTTCAGTCAACAACATTCTAAAAGAAAAAAATACATGTGGCTAGGCATGAGGAGAATGCCTGCACTTAGCCATGGAGACAAGAAAAACAAGAGTTAAAGGCCAACAATGGCCTACATAGCCTCAAAACAAAACAAATGAATGAAAAAAAAAAACAACCATTAGCCTATATTGAGTATTAAAGTTCAACAGAGAAAGTGACATTTAAATCAGAAACCTAAATGATGCATAAGAATAACTAGATGAAGGTAGAGGGCAACTACATAAAAATTGAAGATTGTTTTACTTAATTTGTTTAACACGTGTTTTCTCTTCTTTCTCAGAATGTAAGTAAATTGAATCTATTTGGGGGGGGGGGGTTGGGTTGTGGGGCCTGATCTCTGGGTCTGGGTGCTGTCCCTCAGCTCTTCAGCTCAAGGCTAGCGCTCCACCACTTGAGCCACAGCGCCACTTCCAGCTTTTTTCATTTTGCTTATGTGGTGTTGAGGAATCGAACCCAGGGCCTCAGGCATGCAAGGCAAGCGCTCTACCACTGAGCCACCTTCCCAGCCCCTGAATCTATTTTTTTAAAATAGAGCCATGTATAAGATGCATACGAAGAAGAGAACATGTGACTAGTACTCAGCCAATCGGCAGCATGTGACAAAGATTTGGCCAAAGACTGTCTTCCCGCTGCCTGCAAGTCAAGTTCAAGTTCAAGGATTGACATGTGACTCCAACCAACCCCTCAGCATCCTCCATGGACTGACTCCCTTGCTAGTGCTCTTGGGAGATTTTTCTTTTGCCAATATCCAAAGCAGACCCATTTTT